TGCAGTTTTAGAAGCTCCGCTCGGAATAAAATATTTGCGGCTTACTACTAACCCTAATGTATTTTCTCTTTTAGTGGGATTTGGTGTGCGATAATGCTGTGTATGTAAGCATTGTCAACTCGACAACATTTCTACTGTTCATCATTGGTTCTATGTTGTCCAGTCTTGTAAGTGACAAATTTGGAAGAAAAACCGTGGTTTATCCGTTTGGTCTGTTTGCATGTCTTTGTGGATTCCTATCAGCCTTTGCTCAAACGTACTGGGTATTTGCATTGTTCAGGGCTCTTGCTGGAATTGGTATCGGTAAGTATAACTATTTTAAATACAATTGCAATTTGTGATTAGTCGATAGCCGTGTCGAATAAAAGTACATACCGTCGATAAACAACAGCTTTGACAATTCTCCGACGCAAACCGTGGTAATTAAGAGGACATACCACCAGAAATCATAAATTCGTTAAATGGGCATATCCACATGTTGACGCTTTGTATATGGTTAAAGACTCTATGATTATTGAATGTAATACGCACCCAACGATGTCTGACGAAACGTCTCGGTAGTGGACGGGACCCAGTGGGTACAACTTCACTCGTGGCGGGCTCCACATAATTAGCTAACTTCTCTTCAATCCTCTTTTATCATAGGTGGCTTTACCATTTGCTCATTTGTATTGGTGATTGAGTACACCGGTGAGCCTTACCGTAGCAGAGTTGGATTTTCTATCTGGTATGCATGGGTTCTCGCTCTAGCGCTGTTAGCACTTTTAGGATATCTTATTCCAAGCTGGCGAACCTTGAGCATCGCCACAAGTGTACCAGGCGTAGTTTCTGTGATTTTCTGGTGGTAAGTTTGTACATTGATCATCATATAAAATTGTGATAAAGTTCTGATTTACCAGATCTATCCTGCAATTGTAATCTGTACAGGTTTTCTCCTGAATCTCTACGATGGCTGATAGTTAAAGGGCGAACGAACGAGGCAATCAAAGTATTGCAGGATGTTGCTCGAGTTAACAAGAAAGTCCCTCCTGATGATGATGTTGTATTCGAGAAGTCCGGAATAACGGAAAACCAAAAACTCGGGAACATAAAAGATCTGTTTGCGACAAAAAAGATTGGTTTGAGGACCCTTATTTCATGGTACTGCTGGTAAGTCGTTGTACGCAGCCCTTCGTGTTGTCTWCCACACGTATACAACTATCATTCTTGAGCAAATTCATACCAGATCGGGGAAGGATGAAAGGACCGGKGTGCCAGGGTGGYCGGTGACTCCCAATACTGAAAGGTTCCTGCTTTATTTGCAAATTGTTTTGAATATCAGATAGATCACCCCTTGCTTGCCATACCATWATCACYGATCATGGAGGAAGTTCTATATCAGGTGAAAAGGATCAACWGCATGTTTTGCAATTAARATTTCTTGACTTTGTAGGGCAGTTTCTGGCTTAGTATACTATGGCATTTCTCTAAGCACTCCATCCGTTGGTGGAAACATGTACCTGAATTTTTTCATTAGCGCTGTGTGTGAAGGCATTGGGATGATGATAGGGATATTCTTACTTGATAAGTATGCGCTTATGTTTTATTCAGTTACATAAAGCACACGTCGTCCCACATGGTTCTTAACAAGCAAATTTATTAGTATATAAGTCAAGCAAAAAGTAGTAATATACGATGATATGCCGCAGACTCGGAGGTAGACTTACATGACGTATGCTAATTTAATAAATGTCATGACGTCATGTGTGACGCAATGACACAGGGATCCCAGTTGGAGTTGTCTGATTTCCGGTTAGAAAGAATATCACATGATAGGAAGGTTGCGGATTGAACTTCCGGTGTTCCAAACGCGACATGACACACAGATAGATTGGCAAAAAGGTAAAACTAAAGTCGGCCTAGCCTATGGCTCGCCCGACTAAAAACGTATTAGATATATCACTTAGCGACATTTAGTCTGACGTGTAAGTTGTTCGCAGGGTATTAATTACAAGACCTTTAAGGTCAAATTTAGATTTCTATCATTTTGAAGTCGTTACAGAGAGAGCAGTCAAAAAGAATATCGTATCGTGTGAATAAACTGTTTTGAACAGTACATTAAAGTGAAAGTAATGTATTCTTGCTTTCACTATGTATTAGAAGTAAAAAACATATTCTACACCATAATTTACATTCATAATATGATCATATGATTAGACAGAATATAACATCATAATATTTTCACTCGTGTCTTTATCAATTTTCAAAAATAGCTAGTCCGACTACACGCTCCAGGAGCGTCTAGTTTTTTTTTTTGTTTTTTTTTTTTGAAATGTGGCTGTCATCCTCTGTTAATTGTTTCCGCTAGAAAGTCAGGAATGTCGTCTCAGTCTGTAGGACGTCTGATCAGCCAATTCAACAGACGTTCAAACAAAAACACATAACTTTAAATTGCCTTCCATGCTATGATCATTGCATAATTTGGAGTTCACTAAACTGCTTGTATTTGCGTCTTATCTAAAACCGCCTTAACAATTTTATGTTTTTAACATATCCCAAGGAAAGCATCATGTCTGGCAGTACTGTTAGCACAGAAAAGGTCCTCGAAACTGTCGGTGGCTTTGGTTGGTATCAACTTAGGCTTTGTTTCATGTTGGGATACACGACTCTCTTCGTCTCAATGGTGCTAATGGTAATGACATTCAGTACAGCCGAGCCACCATGGAAGTGCACTCTTAATTCAACATCATGTACTCTTAACGGCACGTTCAAACTTGGCGACGAAAACTTCGATCTTCGGTGTAAGCTACAACGTAGTGACTGGGAATTTGCAGTGGAAGGGGACTTTGATTCGATTGTGACCGAGGTATAAYCAAATTAACATAAGAATTCCAATCCCAAGCCAGATGACCAAAACTATAGAGGCGGATACTTGGTATTTACATATCATGCCGCTTTCGACTCCTTAGGTCAGCTTATCTTACCCTCCTCCCCCTTTAAAGAGACTGTTCCTATTTAGGGCTTCTACTATTGTCACGTTGTCTTTGGCTCAGTTTTAGAAGATATAGAAAAAAAGAAAATTATAGAAGGGGGTTATTCCAGGAGAATGACCCTCCCCTCCCCCTTAGTTTTACTTTCAAAGGTCTTTCTCCCGGAATAACCTTCTTCTATTAAGCACTTTAACATTCCTATATTTCTATATCATGTATCTCATAGTGTCAAGCGGTCCTCACWTGCAGTTTTAGAAGCTCCGCTCGGAATAAAATATTTGCGGCTTACTACTAACCCTAATGTATTTTCTCTTTTAGTGGGATTTGGTGTGCGATAATGCTGTGTATGTAAGCATTGTCAACTCGACAACATTTCTACTGTTCATCATTGGTTCTATGTTGTCCAGTCTTGTAAGTGACAAATTTGGAAGAAAAACCGTGGTTTATCCGTTTGGTCTGTTTGCATGTCTTTGTGGATTCCTATCAGCCTTTGCTCAAACGTACTGGGTATTTGCATTGTTCAGGGCTCTTGCTGGAATTGGTATCGGTAAGTATAACTATTTTAAATACAATTGCAATTTGTGATTAGTCGATAGCCGTGTCGAATAAAAGTACATACCGTCGATAAACAACAGCTTTGACAATTCTCCGACGCAAACCGTGGTAATTAAGAGGACATACCACCAGAAATCATAAATTCGTTAAATGGGCATATCCACATGTTGACGCTTTGTATATGGTTAAAGACTCTATGATTATTGAATGTAATACGCACCCAACGATGTCTGACGAAACGTCTCGGTAGTGGACGGGACCCAGTGGGTACAACTTCACTCGTGGCGGGCTCCACATAATTAGCTAACTTCTCTTCAATCCTCTTTTATCATAGGTGGCTTTACCATTTGCTCATTTGTATTGGTGATTGAGTACACCGGTGAGCCTTACCGTAGCAGAGTTGGATTTTCTATCTGGTATGCATGGGTTCTCGCTCTAGCGCTGTTAGCACTTTTAGGATATCTTATTCCAAGCTGGCGAACCTTGAGCATCGCCACAAGTGTACCAGGCGTAGTTTCTGTGATTTTCTGGTGGTAAGTTTGTACATTGATCATCATATAAAATTGTGATAAAGTTCTGATTTACCAGATCTATCCTGCAATTGTAATCTGTACAGGTTTTCTCCTGAATCTCTACGATGGCTGATAGTTAAAGGGCGAACGAACGAGGCAATCAAAGTATTGCAGGATGTTGCTCGAGTTAACAAGAAAGTCCCTCCTGATGATGATGTTGTATTCGAGAAGTCCGGAATAACGGAAAACCAAAAACTCGGGAACATAAAAGATCTGTTTGCGACAAAAAAGATTGGTTTGAGGACCCTTATTTCATGGTACTGCTGGTAAGTCGTTGTACGCAGCCCTTCGTGTTGTCT